TTTATGGAGTTAAAACATATCTGTAAAAATTGTATTTATCTGGTAATTGCAATTAAACTGGAAATTTAAGTGATTATGCATTAAACAATGTCGAGTTTATAATACGTTATAGACTGACAGACCTATCGATATCAACCGTTGATTATTAAATAATGATATTATCTTTTTCAATAATTAAATTAAATAATTTTTAAGTTATAATATTTAACATGCAATAGGTATCCTTTTCAACTATTAAATCAATTATTTTTTAAAATATGATATTTTATGTTTAGGGTCTGTTTGTTTTTTCAAAATTACCTACTAATACTTCTGAAGTCTGATTCGTTCAGATGTTTGAGTATTAAGAGCATTTGTTCTATTTTTAAAATAAGAACTTGAAAGCTCTAAATGTCTTCTGAAATTTTAAGTGGTAGATGTATCACATGTTTCATATTTTGGGGGTTAGAAGAGATTTATTAGTAAAAATTATTCATTTTTTATACTTATGTAAAAAAAAAAAAAACTATTTATCTTTTATATTCTTACACTAGTTTGAGCGATTCAAATTTCAGACTTCAGACGTAAAAACAAACAATCTTATTGATCCAGATTTCAGACTTCAAATCCACCTCTTATAAATCAGAAGTGAAATTAGACGTTAGACTTCAGCACCTCTTAAAAAACAAACACCACCTTAGTTTATATTTGGATATTCGAAAAAAAAAAAAAAAGAATCGGTTACTTGCGAAAACATCAACGTTCAGTTTTGCCATTTTATTATGAGCAACAGCCAGGACATAACATAATCGTTTTTAGAACTGATATATTTGCATAAATAAACTATGGCTCAAGTTTGACTGCTACAGTGTTAGAGTTGCAAATATTTAAGTATTAAGCAATTTCTAATCATTGGATTCTTAGGTAAACCACCTAACCTGATTTGTCTCGCATATGATGATCTTGAATACAGACAACATAAATCAACAATACTGACTAGTTAAGTGTTTGCTTTAAGGTTTTAAGCAAAATGATTTATAATGGTAAAATGTGGAACGACTTTGTCCAGATACAAGACAAGTCATGTGTTCGATCCCGACACCTTTTTAGCATCAGCCAATGAGTGAAGTAAAAAAAATACGAACCTGTATTATAAGATGGACATAAACAAATAATAAAACAAAACATTAAAATTAAGATGTATCTTGCTGCATTGTACGAGTACGTTTATAGTAAACATTAAATGGGTCCGAACCCGATTCACTAAACTTGATCTAGAAAAAGCCAAATAATCCGAAAAAGGGAAATAAACGTACGTGCAAAAAAAAAAAAGTTACTCAGCGAAATAATCCAAATTTAAAATTTATACTTTTTAAGGAAATAAACGTATCTTTGTAACATATTTAAGGTTTTCATGTTCCCCACACACACATACATACAAAATCGTGTGTGTAAATCTAGCAAATAAAACGAAACAACACATATGATAAATGTAGTGTCATACGATTTTATAAAACATTCATTCCTGTTTTACATGTGAAACGGTACATGAAAATACGTTTAATATATAAAAGACATCACATACACACAAAAGAACAAAAAATACACAACAATAAGTTCTGTTTGAACCAAAAGGCCTTTGACCTAGCGGTACGTGAGTCATTGGCCTCTTAGGAGGTCAAGGGTTCAAACTTCACCAAAGGTGAGAAGGATGTGTGAATTTATTTGTCGTATGTAAATATTATTTACTTAAAAAAAAGTTATGTTGAACCATTTCTCTGCTCAAGAGCTCTTTCTGATCATAATACGAGAGTTCCACATCACAATATGAATCGTAGCTTAAAGATCAAACTAATTGAACAGTTTCGTTTGATTTTCTCATGTTTGAAACATATTTATGTCTGTTACTATATTTCCAATAAGTGTACTTCTATAACGTATACAGTATGTATGCTTTTTATTCGATCAATAATACAGTTTAGTGATTCATCAGTATTCTTTTTTCTTCAACACTTTAAAAGACATATATGGGGTCTAACAACAGACATATGAGTTATAGAAAATAACCAGACTGTTTAAACATAACAAATCATAATTATCAGTTATAATCAGATACTTTTAGTGGAATTTATTTTCTTAACAGAAATAATGGAGCATAAAAGTCTATGCAAATTGTTGTCCTTATTAGATACATCCATATGCTTGGTCCTACTCAAAGTCTACTTGTTGCCTTATCTTGTTTGCCTACTTTTGGTAGTTGTCTTCATCACCCATAACCACTCCCATCTTTTGTATTTGTGTTTTTTTCTTTTTTTTTATTAGCATGAATATCCAACCTGTTATGCTTTGTAGATAGTCTGGAGTCATCGCATTTGAACCTCTGTGGCCACAAGGGGATTTTTATTTCTCGGATTTGAACTTGGGATATCCTGGTACCTTTGACCATTAAAGACAAACTCAAACCAATCAGGCACCACCCTTATGGTTATATATGTGTTTTTTTTTTGGGACAAGATATGGGTTTGAATTTTGAGGCCATTTATACACATATTACAATTCATAAAGTTGGTATTTTATAATTTTATGGTTTGCTTAAAATTTAGATAATGGGTTATTTGTACTGTTGGTTTTAAGTTTTTTAATTTCATAACACTCATGATTCATGGAGTTAACACCGTCAGTTTAGAACCCGTTAGAGCCATCACATTCCCTTCGTGTGAGGGGTATGTGATGGGCCTAACGATCCATAAAAAGGCTGATTTGCCCTTCTTATGAGAGGCATGTGATGGGTCTAACGGTTCTAAGTTGATCTTGACTTCAGAGACAACGAGTGTTATGAAAATGAAAAATTAGATATCATCTTATGTAGATAGTTTGTTTTGGGAACGAAATCCAAATTTTGAGCAAACCACATAGGTTTTATTTATTGGAGTCTTATGTAGTAAGTAGGAAGAAGAATCTTACCTGGTAGGCGTTACCGGAAAAAAGACGCTAACAAACAATCCATTTTTTAGCAAAAAATATCACCAGATAAAATAACTGAGAGAGTAATGACTGTTGTCGATAAACGATTATCCGGTAAGTATATTCAGTAAACAACCCCTTAGTGTCTTTTCTCAAATAACCCAACATCTATTCCCTTTTGAATTGTTGAATCAAGTGTTGATATGACTTATAAGTAGCTTAATGACTTATTCATTAAGATGTATGTTTTTTTCTTAATCATTAAATAAATAACAACTGAATTAGAAAAGTCAATATTATTCCACACATGTTTCAATAAAATAAATACACAATCAATTCAGACCCCTTAGTGTTTAATAGACAAGTTGTATTTATCTTAAAAAGCAAAAGATATAAGAAAAAAGAAGGTGGTGTTTTTGGTTAAGCATAATACGTTTAAATAATGTGAAATACAACTTTAAAGTGGGAATTTATCGTTACTCACAAACCACTCTCTTATAAAGTCAGTTTATACATCTAAAAACTCAACTTCCCAATAACGTCTTTTTGGGTATAAACTATATGAACCATTTTTATCCGTGAAGATAAAAAAAGTTGAATCTTCATAGCAAAAACACTGTGAAGATTACTTTCACAGCGTTTTGCTGTGAAGTTTCAAATGTAAAAAAGTGGTCTCACATGATCCCAAGTATATATATACATATATATATAGAGAGAGAGAGATAGAGACTTGAGATCATGTGAGACAATGTTGTTTTGGTGAGACACCATTTTTACACTTCAAACTTTACAGCAAAACACTGTGAAGGTTCACAGTGTTTTTGCAGTGAATGTTCGACTTTTTTTTTTACTTTCACAACATTTTGAAACTCAAGTGTAAAAATGTTGTCTCACGTGTCTTACGAAACAACATTGTTTGACGTGAACCCAACTCTCTCTCTCTCTCTCTCTCTCTCTCTATATATATATATATATATACACTAGGTTCGATCCCGTGTATTACACGGGGTAATTTGATAAAATCAAATCATGTCAAGAACTTATCCTACATATAGGAATGATTATCGAAAGTACGATGCTACTTCAGACTTGTACTCTTGAAATAACTCCGAAGTAAAACTCTTTAGACTTCATAGCTCTGTATAGGCAAGCCAAAAGCTCCACATGCACTATGCAGAGGCTCTGCATGGTGCTCCGTTTGGAAAAAAGAGTTCAGAGTTCTGGTGAGCTAACTCTGAATAATGACTCTTTAGACTTGTACTCGGATGTAGTGTAAAAATGTTGTCTCACGTGTCTTACGAAACAACATTGTCTGAAGTGAACCCAACCCTTTATATATATATATATATATATATATATATATATATATATAGGGTTGGGTTCACTTCAGACAATGTATATACATAGGGTTGAAAGACATATATTAACGGTTGGATCATATGAGATGAAAAGTGAAACGAAGATTTTGAATATAAGAATCGGGATCATATACTGTATTTTCACGTATGTGGAAAAAAACAGTTATGAACGTTTCACATATAAAACAACATTGTATAAACGATGCAATTTCATATGTATTGTTTCCCATATGAAACGACATATTAAAACTACTTTGTAAGTTTGTTTTGAAGTCGTAAAAAAAAGACACTATTATATTATAATGAATTTTGATAGTTAAATTCATGTATATTGTAACACCCCAAAGTCAAAAGCAACAGGATGGCCCAGTAATTTCTGATTCAACTTAAAACCATGGTAAAAGTTATTGGTAGTTCACTACTTGAGATTTATAAGGTGCTAATGATTCTCACTTTCTATCCATGTGGAACGAGTTACTACATATATATATATATATATATATATATATATATTGTAATGGTTGACATTGGATTAGATTAGTTATTGACCTAGAAATTATATCAGTAGTTTAATTTCGAAAAATATTAAAAAGAAGATGAGTATGGCAATGAGTAAAGTCTTTGGGAATCTCGTTAACATTTAGACCATAATTTCGTGTATTTACACCGGTTGAAAGCCCTAACAAAACCGAACACGTTTCAGAAACTACTACACGTTACAGGTGAAGGACCGGAGAAGACCGGAGATCGGCAAAATGGACAACAAGTTTGTTTCTGGTGAAGCAATTTTCCAACACAGTCGGAATGGTAGACATGACCGCACCGACCGAGTTGGGAAAGCACATCATCCTTCTGGTAATCGACGGAGCAGATGAAGCACATTCGGTCGACAGATCTGTGACGTTCGTTGTACAGATCTTGGAATCGAATGATCGGTAAATCCACGAGGCATACATCCTCTTGGTGGAATCGAGCATTAACACCGCCATATCCAAATAACTTGAAGATAAAACCCTTGAGGAACTGAAACAACTCGGATTTGACCCGAATGACAGGGAAGAGTATGCAGACGTAGAAGACAACGTTCATCATCATTTTCCCGAGCTTCGAACTATGAAGCTTGTGGATTGTGATTGGTTTGTAGAGTGAAATAGTTGGATTTATTATAAGGGAATCTCGAATGGTTCGATCCCCTCTGGTGACGTGTTCGATATTGAGTGGTACTCTTCAATCACCCTACATCGGGTCCCACTTAAGTTCGGCCCCCTTCGGTGACGTGTTTGATATTCGGTGGTACTCTTCAATCGGGTCCCACTTAAATTAGTGTAACCACTAGCAATAAGTTATGAAAAATAAAGAAAAAGTAAAATATATATTATAAAAATCAAATTTCATTTTGATTTTTCTTCACGAAGCCGATAATTTATTTAATTTAAAATAATGGGTTGAAAATTATCGACAAAAAATCTCGGTGGCTTTTTGTTCATGAAGCCATACATGTAATAAGTTTTTTACGAACCACAAGAGTAGTGTTTGATTGGTTTGAGCTTAAGCTCTAAAGATTAAAAATACATGAAGATCTCAAATTTAAATCCAAAGAGAAATAAAAATTCCCTTATGGTCACGAAAGTTCAAATACAATGACTCCGGACTACCCGCAAAACATGTAATCGTCCTGTAATTAGTCGGCTCGCATAGCAAGTTTGGATATCCAGGTTAATAAAAAAAAAGTTTGTTACAAATATATTTATATTTATTTATTTATTATAATCAAAACAGGTAAATTACATTTATTAAAATAAAATATCTATATTATATCATAAAATATTTGATAAAAAATTTTAAAAACCATTTTTTATGCATGAAGTATTGTCTATTATTTAAAATTCAAGATTACAAGTAGATTATGTGTAAGTACAACTTATTATTTATTAAAGTTTCATGTTTGAATTCGTGTAACTAATTGCAGATGACCACAATTTAATACTTGATAAACATCTCATTTTAAATATAAAGAATCTAACATATAATTAGGATAATCATTGAGTTTTAACATAGTATTTAATTATTATTTTTATAAAAACTTATATTATTAAATAACAAATAAATTAATTCGTTATTAGGCTTAAATTAAATTATAATAAAAAAATTAAATTAAAAAAAGTTATTAATAAAATAAGAATTTTTAAATAATTAATTTGATACTAATATCGATATTTTTTTTAAATTTATATTTTATTCAAAAATAAAAAAATTAGCTTTCTATCAAAATCACATAAAATCGTATCATAACATTGGTGAAGACAGAATAAAACGAAACATTAAAATCGAGATATATTTTTACTTTATTGTACGATACCATTATATTAATTATTAATATAAAGAGCATAATTGAAGTAAACGGTATAAAAAGATTCGCTACACTAATTATTAGTCAAATAACCCTCTATATTGTTGGAGCAACAACTGTATAAAAAGCCTTATGGATCGTTTATTAAACGTTTACTCGATAAGTGCTTATCAGGTCATTTTATATCTTATTTAACGGACATGATAATGATTGAGAATCTTATCCAGTAAAATTGATGACAAAAGATGGAGATTCTTACCAGTCAATTTTTGAGTTGAATATCAAACAATACTGAGTTGAATACCACATCACTCGCCACATTTGACTAAGAAAATGACACCAACAAGATTCGAACTTGGGTTTGTGATGGAATAAAAGTCTTCCAAACCAATTCTACCAAATAAAATTTGTTTTCATTATAGTTTCAAAATACATACGGTGGCACACAACAAATTAATACGGTTGCACATTTCACGAACCTAAATTTTTTTATCCTTCAACGGAGAAATAATACGGTGGCATGGGCAACTGTATGCCCTATAGTAGGTCCATCCATGCAAGTACTTATATGATTAAAACTTTACATATTATGTACCAAAATAAAAGTATTAAAAATAAATTATCCAAAATAATAATTAAATTATAATACATTACTTTTTCATGTAATTTGCCTCGATTAAAAAAAAGGATTTTCCACATATATTTTTATTTTTAAAATGGAAATGAATTATCAGATAATTTCTTCTGGAAGTCGTATGCGAAATCATAAAAAAAGATAAGAAGAAAACTCAAAATTCTAGAAGATCACCGCTTGACAGTGTATGTGGACACGTGTTGGTTTGTGGTGTGTAGACAGGCCACGTTGGCCCATACACTTTGCCGCCTACTTTCTCCGCCACAAGCTTCGATCATATTTTCGGATAAATAACGACTTTTTACCCACTTGGTAATTACCTTTTTTTTTAATAATATTTAATTATTAAAAATTTAATATGAAAATTTTAATTTAAATGTTTGCTTATATGAATTAGAGGTGGACTTTACACGGTATCAGGTTTTTTTTATCCTGTTTACAAGTAAATTATAATTGATATATAAAATTTTATACTGTGTATTAACCAATAGTAATTGGTATATGTTTTTTGTTGATTTTAGTGTCATCAATCATTTTTGTGTTACTGTAATTTACTTAAGATTAATTAGAGTGCTAAGGGACTGTTTGTCAATTCCGGAATGGTTTGGTGCATAATGATTAAGAGGCTCTCATGATATAGTGCAAAATGAAATATAATTGTTTGGTAATCGTGTACAATGAAATTAGGGCTCTTAATGGTTAAGAGAGATCTATGATACAAAATCATTCAGAGGTTTTAAAACCATTAAGAGACAGACTTTTTTTTGCCAAACAATATTCACTTCTTAACGATTCAGATGTTGTCTCTTAATGGAACTATTAAGATGTAAACAAACAACCCTAAGACAAATACAAGTGAGTTAGGAGGCGTAGAGTGCACACGCATAGATGTTGTTTTTATCATCTTAGATTGTCATCAGTCAATTAAGGGTGTTCGCAATTTGATCAGTTTGATAAGAGTTATGATGTTACCAGTCGAATTGCCGAAGTCTGGGAACTTGGACTAAAGCTTTAGATCTGTGGACTATATATACAGACTTTGGGTCTTTGGAGTCGGAGTTACCCATACTTAGTCTCCATGTACCCAGATTTAGACTTTCGGTGCTTGGAATTAGAGTTCGGTACCTTGAACTCTGTTCGGTTCTAACCGCTATTCAACCTTATCCAATTATAACCTTACGTAACTGTCGATCTATCATATAAACACGAGTATAACAGGTTCTCGATCTCACAACCTTTGAGAGGGATAAATTCTCTAGGATTATCTCAATACTGAACTCGTGAACCCAAGGCTACAATGGACTAATTATTGGTGTACTCGACACGATATTAAGTGATTATCCAGTCCTCTTATCATCTCCAAATCTCAATTCCTAACATTGTTTTCGGTTGGCACTGGTTTTGCACCAGTGTTCAAATTTTGAGTAACATTGAGTTTTCAAGTAACACGTGATGTTGGCTTTTAATATCGTGTATCAATCAAGTTTGCATACTTGGTACGGTTCTAACAACCGATTAAAAATGATATCAATTATGTCGATACCAATTTAATTGATAAAATTGTCTACCACTTCTCCATATATTCACATAATCACATTTCTATTCGGCATGTAACATGGTCGTGGTGAGTGGTGATGGGATTCAATTCCTTCTATTATGCCAATGAATGATGAAATCATTAATTAATTTATGGAATTCAATGGAATGTGAATGATTCCATCACTTTCAAGAAACGAACCAAACAAAAGAATTGAAATTTGGTCAAAGAAAATTTGTCATTCCAATTTCTTCAAATTCCGGGAACCAAACCGTTTATTCATACCAAAATATTTTCTTAACGATTTTTTATGATTTATATGTCGATAAAATTTGGTGTAAACGAGTATGAGCTTTTGAGTTAAAAATTCTCGATCTTGAATATAGAATAAAACTTGCTTAACTTAACGAGTCGAGCTTCATAACACCGATGTTAGACTCGGCTTTTTCGAAAGCTCGATTAAACTTTACGAGTTGAGTTGAACCGAGTTGAGCCCTTAAATTGTACATTTTGTTTGAGCCGAACATATCGCAAATAAACGAGTTGATTAATCTCAACTTTGAGCTCCTAAACGAGCATTGGTTAATGCTCAAACATTGAAAAATTATTCGAGCTCAAACCCGACTTTGAAAAAGTTAATTGAGACCAAGTCTGATATTAATTTTTCGAGCTGAGCTCGAATAACCTGCTACTCGTTTTGAGTCTGCTCATTTAAAGCCCTAGGTCTATGCATGCATTTTAAACTGAAGTTTTTCAGTAATTCACATGCAAAGAATAAACCATCTATTAATTTTCACTTCTTACGTTCTCATGATATTTAACATTTTTATCTGTTAATTTTCACTTCTTACGTTCTCATGATATTTAGCATTTTTATTTTTGATATTCCTTTTTATTATTATAAAAGATGAAAAGATCGTTTTTGAATTAGTCGACTCGCATGGCGGATTAAATATTCAGGTTAATAAAAAAAATGAAAAGATCGTGTAAGAATAGAAGTTAAAATGACAAAGGTAAGGAGGTATCTAGACCCTTGATTACTCTCGGGGGTGTTTGGAATTGCTTATTTTAAACAACTTATGCTTTTTCAGAAAAGTTCTTATCAACCTATTAAATGGTTTAACTTATTCAAAAACGTTTTATTACTGATTTAACACCGGTATAAGAGTATGTTTAGCAGTTGTTGAATGATTTGATGCATAATGACTAAGTGATCAGAATAATTAAAAGACTCTCATATTATAATACAAAATAAAATTTAATTATTTACAACGAAATTTACAAAATAAAATATAATTATTTACAACGAAATTAGGATATTGAATGGTTAAAAAAAACCATGATACAAAATGATTTTAGAACCATTAAAAGACAATATTTTTTTTTGCCAAACAAGATTCACCTCTTAGAGCATCTCCAATCAACCGACAATTTTAGGGATTTGTCGTTTGTGATCTCTCCAATCGACCTGCAAATGAATTTAGGTTTTGCCGGATCCCTTATTTGAACGGCAAATATGTCGTGGGTTTCTTGAACGGCAAAACCAAGTGGGACCCGTTAATTTGTATTAAAAACCATTTTTCATTTAATAATTTAAGGGTTGAATGGGTTATTTTAATGTGAGGTCCACAAATTTGGTGTTTTTTAGAGTGTGATCAGAGTTGAGTTTTTTTTTTTATTTATGGACTAACCAGATTTGGTGTTTTGTAAGTGTAATGGTTGGAGTTGCCCTTAGATACATGATTTTTTCAATGTAACTCTCTTTCTTACCAGAATCCAAACCGATTATAAAATATGTGAAAGGTAAAAAGTAAAGGTCCAACCAAATTAGCAGATTTCAGAATCATATATTTGCATCAAAACCTGTAGCCATCTTTTAGGCACATCATTGAGGATTAGCCTCGTAAGAAGTTCATCTAAAAATCGAACGAAAACCCTAGAAAAGCCTACCGTACTTAACGGTGGCGCGTTCAGAAACTCTTAACACGCCACCTTCGGAATTCCGGAGAAGACCGGCGAATGACAAAACGGACAAGAAGTCTGTCTCCGGTGAAGCAATTTTCCGACGCAGTCGGAATGGAAGACGTGACCGCACCGACTTAGCTGACAAAGCACATCCTCCTTGTGGTAATCAGCGGAGCAGATGAAACACATCCGATCTACAGATCTATGACGTCGGTTCTGCAGATCGTCGAATCGGATAATTGGAAGATCCACCAGACATACATCTTCTTCGTGGAGGCGAGGATTAACGCCACCGTATCCAAGCAAATCGGAGACGGAATCCTTGAGGAGATTGAGCAAATCGGACTTGATTCGAAGAACGGGGAGGAGTAAGCAGATGTAGAAGATGATTGCCATCAACATTTTTTAGGGTTTTTGGGAAGGTTTTGGAGTTTGAGGAAGTGGGGATATGATGATTCGTGAGAGACGAGATCATGGTGGATTCTATTATAGGGAAGAAAAGTGGGCCCACTTGCGACGTGCTACTTATTTTGGGGAAGAAAACTGGTGGACCGCCACACAATAAGACAGATAAATCCAACCAAACCTAACCTCCTTCCTCATCTTTAATTAAGTTTGTAAATTTTTTAAATTGTAGGTATTGAGTTGATATTGAGTTACTTTTATTTGAACCAAATTCAATGTGATGAATTCGGATATTTTTTTTTCTTGAATTTAATATGATTGTTGAATTTTTATTAATATATACATTACACAATTACATTATCGCGTACGCTCTTTATATACACATATTTTCAGTCTATTTACATCTCTTTATAACTCATTCATATATATGTTCTGTAACTGTGAACATATATTTGTAAATTGAGAAAATTAATTGAATGTGGTATATACGTAAGAAGTATGGATAAGTTGTATCAAATGGTTGATGATGAAAATGAAATTATACATAAAAAGTATGGATTAGTTGTATCAAATGGTTGATAATAAAAAAAATTATGAGTAGAAAAATAACATATTCAAAGTTAGAAGAATATACTAATATATCAAACTATCAACCTGATCAACACCGGGTTGGGTTGGGTTGGGTTGAGTTGGGTTAAGATTTTTCAAACTGCAAACATTGGGTTATTCAAATATTTTCAACCCGATCGACCCAACCCGTAAACATCCCTATTGTATGCTCTAAATTGAGTTTGTCAGTTGATTTTTTTGCTTTGACTCCTCCATAAGTTGAGGAACATTTTTGAATAATTAATCTATCCACTAAATACAAAATTTAGAAATTGATTTCCCTAAAAATAATTAATCTATCCAATAAATTCCACTTTTTAAATAATAAATAGAGATTTATTCATATCTATACTATCTTATAAAACATTTGGTTAAAACTTTTAAAAACTCTTAAAAACTCTTAAAACTCTTAAAAACTCTTAAACTCGTTTATCCCTAAACGATTTCATCTCATATTTGAATTCGTGTAACTAACTGCAGATAAACACAATCAAATACATGATAAATACCTCATAAAAAATCTAAAATATAATTAGTATAAACATTAAATTCTAACAGAATACTTAATTATTATCTTTATAAAA